CCTGCACGTATGTGAGTGCAACTGTGTCATGCAATGCTGCGGAGGTCAGAAGAGGACTTTGAATTTCCCTGGAACTGTAGTTAAGGAAGATTCGTGGCAGCCATGTGGCTGCTGGGAATCAAACCCGGGTCCTCTGCAAGAGCAGTCAGTGCTCTTAACCGCTGAGCTATCTCTCCAGCCTGATTTTTTGTTTTATCAGATAGACAGGAACTCCAACTTAAGAGAAGTAGGAACACACAAAAACTGAATTTATTAACAAGCATCTGGTTCTTAGGAACACAGAACAGGACTAATAAATCAATAAAATGCATACCTGGAAAGGTTAACAGGCTTAGTATTTAATTTCTTGTTAAATCTGCCTGTATGAAAGGTATGTTATTCACCAAATAATTTTCCTTCCCTTTTATATGCATTTTTCTTTCAAGATCCTAGCCTAAAAAGAAAAAGAGTCACACAGCTAAATGATTGCCTCCCCTGTAAAAGGAAAATCATTCACCAACATCAACTTGCCAAATCAATTGTACCTAAGAGATACAACATAAAAATAGTAATTGCTCTTAGAAAATTCTATCAGTCTAAAGAGCTGATCCTTACTGAGTCAGCAAATGCACAGCGCAAGGAAGGGGAGGAAGAAGACGCTGAGTCACTTCCTCAGTGAGGAGATCACCACAGTGGGAGAGGAGGCTCTTGACAGCTGGAAAGAGGAAAAGAGATGTTTAGTGAGAACAGTGCCCTCAGTCACATGACAGGAGCATTCAGTGATGGACAGCATTTGCAATATTATTAGAATACAGAAACGCGCTCAATACACAAACACACACAAAATCCTGAAATCCTAGGGATTAAAAGGAAGCTAATGTCTTCTACCTCTCATTTGCAAGAATTTCCCAAAATAACAAATAGACTAATAATTAAAATAATAATTGAATAAATTAACAAGGGGCTAGAGAGATGGCTCAGTAATTAAGAGCACTGGCTGCTCCTGCAGACACTGGGTTTCGTTCCCAGCATGCACATGGTGACTAACACCTATCTGTAACTGCAGTTCCACAGGATCCGACACCCTCTTCTGGCCTCCGCAGGCATTGCATGCACATGGTGCACTTATACACATGCATGCAAACGCTCACATACATAAAATAAAAATTAATTAGTGAAATGCTGCTCTCTTGGGGTTTTTACTTAGCTTTGAGCACAGAAATTTAAAAAGAAAAAGAAATTAGCATCAGAGAAATGCTCAGTGGTTATGGGTGGTTGCTGTTCTTCCAAAGGACCCAAGCTTGATTCC